TCAGGCTCAATAGCTCACTCAGAGCGCCAGCTCAGAGGGCCAGGGAGGAGAATGTCATTCCCTCCTCAGGACTAAGGCCCGGGCCATTTTCTCTCTTCAGATGCCTGACAAAGAAGACACAGATATTCTTTAGGGGAATGTCCCACTCATTTGTAGGATGTGGTCTGGTCCCCAAGCCATGGGATAAGGCAAGCAAAATACTGGACAAGAGCGATAGTGAGAAGTATGCCACTCTTGAAAGGTTTTAGACTAACAGAGGGTGGGAGCTGGCAAATCCCACTCAGGCTGTCCTATGATCCAGCCACCAGCATGAAGTAAGGACACGCCAGATTTGGTGCCTCATCTTTCCTGGCACCAACTGGTCTCAGCTTCCAATTCTTATAGGGTGTCCTACACACACACACACACACACACACACACACACACACACACACACACCTCACAAAGACAACATAATACATTTTTTTATAGATAGGGATATCTAGATAAAAACAAAAAAGTCTTAATCTGTAAAAGTACAATTATAATTTATATTATGAATTGCTAGTCAGAAGTGGGTGGGTACTTGTGTTTTATCTGCATAACGACAAGCACCTGCCCAATGCTCTTTCCCAGAGACAAATTCTGTTTTTCACTACAGAATTTTAAAAAAATGCACTCAAAATAGCAGTCTCTAGCTTTGATCATTTAAATTTTTATCCTCCACTGACACCTTCTTTAGAAATATATAAATTAATAAATACATCAGATAAGACCTAAAGAGGCTGTTCAGTTTCAAACAACTCGAAGGCATATTTGAGTGGTTCTGGCTAAGGATCCTCCACTAAGATGAATGTTTGGATAAAAGTGGTGCTTTTCTGGCCTGCTTCGTCTCCATAACATTCTGAGTTAGGATCCAGGAGCAGGAAAGGAATAAGCACGTGATTTCATTCTGGAATAACTTTCTCAGAAGGCAGCAGAACTCTGTGAACTAACAAATATTTCTATAGCCACTACTTTTACATTTACAATGAGCTTGCTTCTTGTCTTTGAAATGTTTCTTTGGGGAAAAATATTTTAAATCCTCCTGAATCGTTTTAACATTTCCATTCGTCGCCTCACCTTTTGAATCTCTACTTTGGGGCTTATCTTTGGGATTGTATTTTTCTGTTTGGTTATCCACAGTTCCAATCCAGCAAAAAGTTTATCCAGACAGAACTAGTCAAAACTATGGAAATGGCTATGTAAGTGCAGTTCTCTAACGTAACGCTGGCCAGGACATGAAGGGAACTTGTGATGTTATGCTACCCAGAACCCTCATGGCCTTGGAGATAAAGTCTCTGCATCTTATTTTTATTCACACTCCTAAATTTTACTCTGTTTCCATTTTTGTTCTCCCAGTTCTCTCATTTCTCGGGTTTTTGCCTACCACTTACAGAATGATATATACCCTAGACCAGTGGTCGGCAAACTCATTAGTCAACAGAGCCAAATATCAACAGTACAACGATTGAAATTTCTTTTGAGAGCCAAATTTTTTAAACTTAAACTATATAGGTAGGTACATTGTTATTAACTTAATTAGGGCACTCCTTAGCTGGCCTTTGCTAAAAACGTTTTCAATCTGAGGGGTTGACCTCAGTGAACGTACCCCCACTTCTTCTAACGCCACTTCTTCAAAATAGACTCGCCCAGCCCGAAAACTGACTTCTGTGCACGGGCCACGAAGTTTCAATCGCACTGTACATGCGCACCCGCATGTGGTATTTTGTGGAAGAGCCACACTCAAGGGGCCAAAGAGCCGCATGTGGCTCGAAAGCCGCGGTTTGCCAACCACTGCCCTAGACAATTATATATATCCTAGACATTATCTCCCAGATAATTATATACCTGCCCAATTTTACTAAATTAAACATATATATGTATAATTTTGCTCATTTCCCCCTTCCCTAAGAAATTACATTAGTTTAGTTTTTCCTTCTTTCTCCTTTATCTGGTAAAGACCTGAAAGAGACAAAAGAGCAGCCATATGAATGTGTATCTGGTGAGAAAACTTTCCAGAAGAGGAATCAGCAAGTTCACATCCTTGAAGAGGAGCATGGCATGACTGGCAGGGATTGAGCAAGGACAAAAGGGTGGAAAAGATGAAGTCGGAGACCTTGCAAGCATGTAAGGGCTTTGGCTTTCACTCTGAGTGAGATGTAAAGCCATTGGAGGGTGCTGATCAGGTTCAACATTCAATTTTATGAGGCCCACACAGATAGCCATGTCTGAGCAATAAAGATGGAAAAGTACAAGAGTGGGAACCACACCTTCCTTGGATGTGATCCCAGCAAAGGAATGTGTTTGCCTGGGTGTCAGTGCATTTAATTTTAAGATGTTGAGTGCACCAGACTGGCTGGAAGGGTAATAATGTTTTGAAGGAGCAAAATATATCGAGATTTGCTAGAAGGAATAAAATAAGTTAATTAGTAAATCTAGAGAAAAGTGTACAGTCCCTGAATCCTTGGGGAGAAACTGATAATACGGGGAGAGGGATTCTGCTGAATGTTTACTTCTTGCCACCACAAGAGTGACATGAACTAGACCACTCTTGCAGCCTGACCAGATGGAGGAAACGGTTGGCTGACTGCACAAGTGCCACTCCTGGTTGTCTTGGTTACGAGCAAGTCATCCAAATGAAGGGAATGGTAATTAGCAGTGGAGCAACAGGTGACTTAGCTAGCATTACCTTGGAGGAAGGTGCTGTGGCAGGAAATAAAGGAGGACAGGGGACAAGGAATTCGCTGTAAATAACAAGCGCCATGTTGAGGCTGCCTGTCCAAGAATCTCTCAGTGTGACAGGACTTTACATATTTTTGATGAACCTTATTCAGCCTCAGTGTAGAAAACCTGCCACCTTACCACCTGTGTCCCGTCTGATGCTGAACAGAAAGGCGCTCTAGGGAGAACAAGATGTGTGGGTAAACAAATCGTCTTTACAAATCTTCTTTCTTCTTAGAAAATGAAAGAGAACATTCTGATACGCACACAAGCATTTTAGCATTAATTTCCTTGTAAATCTCTGTGGGTACATATTCCCAGACATAAGCTAAGCATTATTTCAATAAAAAAAATTAAATGGAAAATAAATCATTTAATAGAATTTATGCTCATGGTTCTGACTGTATAAACCTTCACAATAAATTCATATCTCCCAAGTAATATAGGCAAATTTTAAGGACTGAGAATAATACTCTCATTATAAAGATTTGGTGGGTTGATCTGAAGCAACTCAGAACTTCTTTGGAAGTCTGGCCATGAAATTAACTCTCTCTTCCTTGTCTGGAGGGCTTCCCTGGGTTAGTGAAACCCCAGGAAGAAGCCTGCACACTTACTGTGATGGTCACGGCACAGCTTCCCCAAATTTGGAGCTATCAAAAGCCACGAAGAGTAACAGTATAACAGCTGCGGCTCCTCCTGAAAACATTCAGAGCCAATTTGATTTTTATTCTTCTTCCTGGCACAAAGATCCTTTGGAAGCTATAATTTGGACATTCCAATATCGGATTTACAGGAATCTTAAAATGCTTTGTGGGTTGGATTGAGGAAATAAAGGAAACAAGAAACCGTATTTCTGCTTCTAAAGCTGATCTTGTGCCACCTGGATAGAGCATCTGTGAGAGGGAAATGATGCACAGTGTAGATTTGGGCCAGCAAAATGGGAAAGTCGATTATTTTGTTCCATGTGGTTTCATCAGGGGAGGAAGAAGATGAGCTAGATAAGGAGCATCAGGAGGGAATGCCAGGTCTGAAACACGCACTCACAAGTGGTGACCACATTGGTCCTGCACTACAGCAAGGGCGGAAGTTCAGTTATTAGCGCAAGCAGATGGCATTTTAATCTTTATTCCTGCCAAAAGAATAATCAACACTTAAAAGCTTTAAAATTATTCATCTTCAGGTACTTGCCCAAACATCAGTTCTTTCTGTTAATGTTTGTGCCCATATGAAGAAGTTCCTCATAGTTAAATAAAGCCCACAGGTAGATAATTACCACAGTACATTAGGGATGCTCTGTTTAAAGGAATCCTATATAATAAAAGGCTAATATGCAAATCAACCGAACAGCAGAACAACTGGTCGCTATGGTGCACACTGACCACCAGGGGGCAGACACTCAATTCAGGAGCTGCTGAGCTGCGGTGACTTGGCAGCAGTGGTTGTCTGGGTGACGCACTCCAGAACCAGAGAGGAGGGAGCCCTATTCTTGGGTGCATCACCTGAGAACCACCCTCTAGCAATCCAAGACCCCTTGGGGGATGTCGGAGGGCTGGTTTTGTTGGAGGCCAGGCCAAGGGACCCCAGCTGCCAGAGAGATCCTGCTTACTCCTCAGATACCCTTCAAGCCACAGCTCTGCCCCAGGTGGCCAGCCAGGGAGGGACTGGTGGGAGGTTGGATCCACCCCTTTTGCCCAGTCGCGTCCCACCATCCACCTTCTAATTAATTTCCTTTTAACATGCATGAATCCATGCACTGGGGCACTAGTGTTATTCATAATCCGCAAAATAGCCCTACCCAAAAGATCCTAGTATCATCATTCTACAAATGAGGAAACACCTCAGGTAAAAAAAAAAAAAAAAAAAAAAATCATCAAAAAGTTACCCAGCACATACAGAGCTGACTCAGGATTTGAACTCAGGTCTGCCTTGCTCTGATCCTGTGCTCTTTGTGTTTGTCAGGATACAGAGTGGCAACTCAGCTCTGGTTTGGTTAGAAGTTACTTTAACACCTTATTTTGAAAGCTAAGATGTTAACTCTTAGAAGAGGGTGATGTATACTAAGACAGATAATGCAAACTAGGTGAAAATATGACCTGCAGGTGGGCAGAGCCCTGGTGTTTGGTGTGGCCAAAGTTTACACGATGGAGCTGAGCTAAAGGGTTTTCTTTATCTCAACCTCAAGAGTTTAACCTGCAACTAAACAAAATAAGAGATTGCTTGGCAGGAACTCAAAATTTCCCCCTTCCAGATGTACTTACATTTTAACAGGCATTCACCAAGCTTGAAATACCTTCAGGACACAAACAGATGAATCACCTGTCAAAAAATTCAAGAAACTATGGTCAGCAGCTGGGGAAAATATTTTAGGAGAAAATATTTTTATTGAGAGCCTCTTGAATCATACTGCTGACATATATAGGAAAATGTATAGTTTATTTCTATTCCTAGTGGTTTGTTAAAAGTAAAAGGAGACATGAGAAACATCTCAGGATTAAATAATAAGGCTTCAACCAAAGTAAAGATGTCAACCTCACAATTAAACATACATGTGTGCCACAGGAATCTGACCCAGTGCCATGATCTAAACATGTCTATGATTTCTAAAATAAAGTACTAATTATGACTCAAATAGTGTTCAACACTGTAGAGCAGTGGTTCTCAACCTTGGCTGCACATTAGAATCACCTGGGAATCTTTTTAAACTCCTGATTCCTGGGCCTCATCCTCCAGAAATTCTGTTTCTTTGTTATGGGGTGAGGCCACAACATTAGTGAACTCTTTAATCTCTGCCACTCTCCATGGGCTGCTACCAATGAATTCTCTCTTGACCCTCTTTCTCGATACTTGTCTCTCCTTACACCTTTTCTCTCTGGGATTTCCTACTTGATACTACTTTGCTCTCTGCTTAAAATCCCATTGAATTCTCCAAAAGATGATTACCATCTGATATGAAATGCCCCTGCTGGGAAGAGGTCTCAAGGTAGACCATGTCAAAGGCACAGGTCATAGATAACTGTCTCTACTCAGATGTCAACCGCTGGTCAAATTGGATATGACCAGACTAGCTGGAACCCATGATACCAAGTGGGTGACTTTTGAGTAAAGAATCACTAAAAAAGGACTTATAAGAATGACAGGCACTTAGTATGAACTGTTAAATACATACTCCATGTAGACACAGCCCGTTCCACCTTCTTCATATTTGATTGCTGTTCAGCTGTCCTACTGAGCAGAACTGGGATGAGGGTGAGTCCAGAGAGGCATGGGTGCAGAATTTTAGGAGGCACTCATCCTCAGGGTCATACCAGGGTAGAATTGGCACCTAAGAGTGAATGCCTCCTTAAATTTTGTACTTTAGACACTTCATTTGCCTCACCCTACTCCTGGCCCTAGTACTGAGAGGCAGATCCCTTTGTTTTGATTTCCTTTTTACCTTCTATTACTTGAATTTTTGAGATGTGTCTACCACTAACACTGCTATTTTTAATATAAAAATCCAAAAGTTGTTAAAAAACAACAATAAACCTGTCCATAGGGTTGCATTTTATATGGAGAGGTAGCATTTAGTAAGTCTTCCTAAAAGAAGAAGGAAAAAAAAAAATGACCAAACACAGGTTTTAGCTACCTTGAAAAGTGAAATAAAGTAACAATAAAAAACAGTTTGGGATTTTTTCCATCAATGCTGTTTCCTCCTGTATTGAAAGGAATATGGCAAATAGCCCATCTAGTTATTTTCTGAGCTGAGCTCCAGTGAACTGCACAGACTTGAACTCTCTTGGAGAGGTGAAGAATGAAATATCATGTGGGTGAAGGGTCAAATATTCTTCACAGAACAGAAAAACAACGATAATTTCTTCCCAATGGATTGCTTAAAATATGTGAATCATGCCCAGCCAGTGTGGCTCAGTAGTTGAACATCGACCCAGGAACCAAGAGGTCACAGTTCGATTCCTGGTCAGGGCACATGCCTGGGTTATGGGCTCGATCCCCAGTAGGGGGCGTGTGAGAATCAGCTGATAGATGATGTTTCTCTCTCATTGATACTTCTATCTCTCTATCCTCTCCCTTCCTCTCTATCTAAAAATCAATGGAAACATAAAGAAAGAAAATACTTGAATCACGTGGTCTGCAACTAGAATTATTTGCATCTAGGCTATAAGCTTTTGGCCATAACTGCTGAGTTCCTCCAACGATGAGCCATTATATGACAGCTTCAGGGCTTGAAGTAAACATATTGGACTTGAAAGTAAACCAAATGGCAGTTATAGGGCAAGCACTACACACAAATGACAATTTTCTTCCCCAGTAAATTAAATGTGGATTCTAAAGCTTTCTTTGGCCAAATAAGACCTATAATGAATACACTGACCAGATCCAGATCCCTCTTTAGGCTTTCGTTCCTCTAGCAGGCAGGAGTGTTAGCTACTGAAGGCTCATGACTATGTCCCTATTTTGGGAATTGCTGTCAGCCTACTAAAACTGTGTTGCCCAAGTTTATGCCCCCTCCAAGGGAGCAGCCTGCATTCAATAGCTGGCCCATGCAGGGATACAAAAGCCTGAAACTCTTGCTTCTACTGTGGGCACCTCTAAAGGGTCATCCTATCTTTTGGACTCACAATAGCAGCGGTTCTCAACCTGTGGGTCACCAACCTGTGGGTCACGACCCCTTTGGGGGTCAAACGACCTTTCACAGGGGTCGCCTAAGACCATCGGAAAAAAACATATATAATTACATATTGTTTTTGTGATTAATCACTATGCTTTAGTTATGTTCAATTTGTAACAATGAAAATACATCCTGCATATCAGATATTTACATTACGATTCATAACAGTAGCAAAATTACAGTTATGAAGTAGCAACAAAAATAATTTTATGGTTGGGGGGTCATCACAAGATGAGGAACTGTTTTAAAGGGTCGCGGCATTAGGAAGGTTGAGAACCACTGCTCAATAGGATCCACTGGGGGTGTTGCAATTGCATCACAGTTCAACTTACTTCTCTGTCCAGACCTTCTGACCGTATGCCCTCAGAGGTATTGTTCCTGAATGTATTCCTCAAAAATATCTCTCACATGGAAATCTCTGAATTTCAGTGTCTGTTTCCTGGGAACCCTGATCTGTGAAAGTTGGGACCAGAAGTGATCATGAGAAGTAGACTCTGAAATGAAATATTGGAGTTGAATAACTTTTCTCCCCCGCTAGCCACCCACCCCAGTTGAATACCAATGAAAATTCCAAGACTGGTAGTGGATGGAGGATGACTAATTCCTGACACACTATAGGAATGCAACTGTTAACATCTCATTGGTGGGGAACTGGAAGGTGATACTGGTAGAAGAAAATGTACTGAGAGGTGTAATATCTTATGTGTATAAGAGATTTGGAGCATGGTGTCTTTAGAACATTGCAGGACATTTAGCAGTATCTCTGGCTTCAACCTACTAGATACCAATAGCTCTCCCTTACCCCCTTTTCTCCCCCACCCCCCACTGTGACAAACAAAAATGTTTCCATCATTGCTGTGTTCCCTGGGGGCAAACACCAACCTTCATTAGGAACCACTTATTCAGTGGTATTCAGCTCTCAGCCCTTTGAGTAACACCAAGATATTGGAGTCTTCCCAGCTATGTCCCAGACATCTTGAAGATGAAAAAAGCAACCCGCCCCCCCCCCCCCCGACCCACTATGCCATCTCCAAATTTCTGTCTAGCAAAATCTGTAAACATAGAAAATTTTTTATTGCTTTACAGCAGCATTTGGGGGGTGTTTTTTAATGTGGTAATAGATAACCAGAGCAAGGGAAAAATAGTAACCATAATGACTATGGAATTGAATGACTATAGCTGGAGGCAATCAATATATTGAAGAAGATAGTGAAAACAGGATGTTTTAATCACCAATTAAAAAGTGAGTGTGAAAGCCAGAAGTTCTCCTTGGCAGTACATAAAGAGACTCCCATCTCCCAAAAAGCCGAGGATCAGGTCCCAGAACTTAGTTAGAAAAGTTAGCAGAATTATAGAAGAGGCTAAGTTCTCAAATTTGGCAAGTTTTCTATGCTAAAGACAGGGATATATTTGGAAAAATGTGACTCTGAGATTTGGCGAGGGGAAATCTGGTTTGATAACTCTCAGAAATCTTGCATCCCTAGGTGCTCAACCCTCTGGGCCTGAAAAAGTTGTCCAATTTGCTCTGTCAAAGTTCTATTCTCTCCACTCTGCTTTGCCCTCACTTCCCTCCTTGGCCACCAGGTCAGTAACTAGGGCTAAGTCACCATTTAGCCCAGCTCCGAAAGTGCTGGGACTGATGAGAGTTTGAAAAGGGCTATACTATGAGGAACTGCAGGTTCTGGCCAACATGTGCCAGCAGAAATTGGGAGAACATGAGGGGGACTGAATTCTGAGGCTGCTGGACCAAGCAGAGAAGAAGGTAAAGACAGGTAAGGGAGAGTTTATATAGGAGCACTTTTGAGTAATATAGTATTTAGCACCTTGAAAATAGCTTAGGTATATAGGGTGTGGGGAGTCAACTAGATTGAAGACCTAGAGCCAAGGTTGAGCCTGAGGAGTTTAGGGACGATGAGAAAACAGATTCCACTAGAAACTCCGGTGGAGTGTCTGTTGAAGAGTAGTGGAGGATTGGCTATGGCGAGAAATGAGGCGGCTTTGGAAATGTTTTGGTATTAGAGGTAGCCATGTACTGTTTCTAGCCCATTTACCCCCTCCCTGCACAACATTTCGTAGGCAACTCCAGTCACCAAGATAAATCATTCAGTGCATTTTAAGATTTCTCTGTATTTTTCCTTTATGTGTGTAGCTTTTATGACAATACTTAGTCCTCTATCATTGAAAGATAAAATTAGAGTATTTTTTTTTTTTTATTTCTTCTGTATCTCACAGCTCATCTATAAAAGGATATGAAGGGAATGGAACTTAGCATCCATCTCTGACCTGCTTCACCAGATTTTTCTCACTGGCTGAATACATTCCTATTTATAATCTATTGTCATTTTGCAATTACAATAAATTAATTTCAATCTAGTTATTATTCTTTCTGTGCATTTTTACTAGGCTTTTCTGGGGGTACAACAGTAAAGGGTTTATTGAAATTTAGGATGGTCAGTGTCTAAAACAATTATTAGAAATTATAGAAATTATTTCATTAGCCAAATTGGTTCTTCATCATATATTTAAAATATGCACCCCATTAATTCAATTCCCCAGGCTTGCATATTCTGTAGAATATATAATTTTTTTCACACTGAAGCAATGATATTTTTATATTGTTTCCAGAGATGCCGGGGCTGCAAGACTCAATGTGTTTTCAGGTGAGCAGATTTGCTTTCTTTTTCTTCATTTTTTTTCCCCAGTGAAAAAGCCTTGTATGTCCTAGCTGGTTTGGCTCACTGGATAGAGCGTCGGCCTGGGGACTGAAGGGTCCCAGGTTCGATTCCGGTTAAGAGTATGCACCTTGGTTGCAGGCACATCCCCAGTAGGGGGTGTGCAGGAGGCAGCTGATCGATGCTTCTCTCATATCAATGTTTCTAACTCTCTATCCCTCTCCCTTTCTCACTGTAAAAAAATCAATAATTAATTATACACACACACACACACACACACACACACACACACACACACACACATATATATATGAAAAAGCCTTGTAGAATATATAATTTGTGAATTAAGTATTCCTTTATAAATATCCTGAACTTAATGGCAGTTTTTGCTTAAAGAAAAAATAAAGTTGAAGGTAAGAGGAAAGGAAGAGAGGAAGGAGAAGAAAGAGGAAGGAGGGAAGGAAGGAAGGAAGGAAGGAAGGAAGGAAGGAAGGAAGGAAGGAAGGAAGGAAGGAAAAGAGAAAGAGAGAAAGATAGAGAAGGGAAGAGTGGGAGCATAGGTAGGCATAGGGAGTGAAGGAGAGAGGGAGGGAGGGGAGGAGGGAGGGAGAGATAAAGTTATATCTGATGTGGAATCTGTCAAGTCCCTGCTAGTTTCCTTATGTGTGGCTGTATGTTGGTCATTATGTATTAAGGTTGCATTTAGAAGATTTAACCTTCAGTGGCTAGTTTTGCTTAGGCAATATTCAGGAATTTGGTTAAGAGACATCTGGTGAAAGATTCTGTCTTTTTAGGGTAGACTAGCTTTCTCTTTTCAAATTATTCCAGGAATAAGTGTACCAAAATGTACACTTCTGTGCCCAAGCGTATCTTTAAAAAAATTAAAATGCACCCCTTTATTGCCTGAATACTATTAAACTGAGAAAAGACAGAACATGATTGAAAGAAATGCCATTAGGAGGTACAAATTGGCATATTCTCTAATCTCAACCATTTAAATTATTGATCATCTAAAACTGTGATCTAAGCGATAAACTGCTAAATCTGTATGGATATTACTCTTTGGAATCGGTTTTCTTCAGTGGGTGGGTGACAGAGTTCTTTCCAGCTGCTTGGTCACTTGCATATTCTTAGCTTACTTCAGTCACCTAGTGTGGACCTGTCTGTGTGTGTCATGTTAATGTGGGTTTCTGAGTGGTCTGCTGAAGAGAATGAATATTCATGAATGCCCTATTTTTGCACCCTCTAATTGAAATTTGCCATTTTGTAGTTTGCCACCTCAAATGATAAGGTAGGCCACAGTGGGTGGCAGAGAATAAGGACACTGTAGACTGATAAAGACCTTTAGACATCTACTAGTATAGTTTGTATCTTTTATTTATAATGATAAATGAGAGACCAAGATCTGTAGAGTTACTCACAGGGATTGGAGAAGAACTCAGAATCTTAACTCCTGGGTTAATTTATTTTTCTTATCTTAATCTTTCCTCTATCCTCTAAATATTTCTCTCTTCAACTCATTCTCATTTGCATTCCTCCTTAAATGTAAACATCACCACTGAGATGATTCTGTTAAGACATTCATCTTGGCTAATTCTAACTTGGCCTTATCAAATCAGTAACTCAGATAATTTTTATTGAAATATTTCTGAAAAAGACCTCCCATAATATAAATATACACTATTTATAAATAATATACAATACTATACAAGGAATTATATGTGGCTTTTTGAAAAACAATAGTCTACTCACAGAAAACTATTAATGTGCTTTTTTATTATAATACCCTCACATAATATTTTGCTTTTTATTTTTTGGATACTATATTAACTAATCTTTACAAGTTTAATATTGAGTAATATTAAGTTACCAAAACTAAAGTGCTCTTTTATTTACTTGCCTAACCCTGATGACCCTTCATACCAAGCATAAAATTCGGATTATTGATTTTTGGCTGACAATCTCCTTTTCTAAAACATCTTCCCCTCTCAGTTTTAACCATTATTTAGGACTAGTTAAATATATGGATCTTTAAAATTCTGGTATTAGTGACAGAAGACAAATAGCTTTTCATTAACTCCACTGTTCTGGAATAGCTAGCTCTTCTATGATTGCCTTTCATGTCTACCAGAGAACTTTTTCATTTTTACTTTTAGGCCCATTAACCTTGAATCACACTGGCCAGGTCAACTATGTCAGCAATTCAATGAATTCCAAATTATACCTAGCAGCCAGATTGAAAGAGCATTAACTGAAATAAAGTGCCCTGAGGTTATAGATCTTATAGGGGAGACAAAACAAAAAGTCACAATTCTATTCCAGGTAGAGGTGCAAAGAGCCTCCTTGACTGAAATTCTATCAGGTTGTGCTGCCCATGCTAAAGACCATTAGGGAAATAAAAAAGCTAAAGTACATATAAAGCCATATTTTTAATGCCTCTCTGTTGTCTAATAATTTAACACCATAATGCTTTTCTGTAGATTTAGGGGTTTCTTGAAATCAAACTTTTATTAACCAGTTTCACAGGTGTTTCTATGATTATAAAAGTAATGTATTTTCTTTTAAAAAAATATTTATTGGTGAAAGTATTATATATGTCCCCCTTTCCCCCATTGACCTCTTCTAAGCCCCCCCCCCCCAACAAGTCTTCACTACCCTATTTTCTGTGTCCATGGGTTATACATGTATGTGTACAAGTTCTTTGGTTGATCTCTTCCCACTCACCCGCTCTGAGATTCAACAGTCTGT